AAAAAAAAACAACAAAAAAAAATCTATAAAAAAATCTTTGGGGAAAGTAAGGATCACAACTAAAATATCCTGAGAGAGATGCAGCACTTTGAACTGGTTTCCAATCTCCAGTAGCAAAAGGAGCTTTACACAGCAAAGCGTTTCCACAGAGCTTCCCCCCTCCACGTTATTCCTACAGGGAAAGGGGCAGCAGCACCGCCTCGTGCCTGCAGGGAGGAATTTCACTATGGAACGTGCTGGCACTTGCAGTGAGCAGGGAAATACATCCCTGTGTCTTCCAGGGACTGGAAAATCCTCTGACAAACTGAGCAAGCACTGCAGGAATATTGATGTGCTTTTTAAAGCAATTTAATCAGGGCAATAAAGCCCCTAAAGTGGCATTTCTGTAGCAAAACTGACAGGGCTGGATGTGCCAAAGCACAGCTAGGATGGTGTTTCCATGTTTTATCCATGGGAAAGGGACAGTCATCATCACTGAGGATCCCAGCAAAAGAGCCAGGAATTACARAATGGTTTGGGTGGGAAAAGATCATTTAGTCCCAACTCCTTCCTACTATCCCAGGCTGCTCCAAGCTCCATCCAGCCTGGCCTTGGACATTTCCAGGGATCCAGGGACAGCCACAGCTTCTCTGGGCACCCTGTGCCAGGGCCTCACCACCAGTAAATTAATTTCTTCCTAACATTTAATCTAATCTAAACCTGCCCTCACTGGGTGCTCAGSTAGTAAAAAAAAGGAAAAGACAGCTAAAACTACATCCACTGAGGGTGTTTGAATGTTGGCATCAACCCCCACGGGGCCCTTCCTTTCCGACCTCTAATTGCAACCCAGSTCTGGCAACTGCACCAGTTCTTTAAGAACAATGAAGTTTTTCAGCTGACTTTTAATGCAGTTTGAAACTGGAGGATGGCCAATAATGTAACATTTGCTCCTGCAGCACAGCTGCAGGCAGAGTTTTTTTCTGGATGAGTTTTGCCAGCTTCAACAATTGCCAAAAAAAAAGAAGTTTCAGAGCGATGCCTTTCTGTAAATCACCAAATGTAACTCTGACCTCGAGTTTTCAAGGTGCACCCAAATTTGATCTCAGTGACTGAAAATTTGTCCCAGCTCCTAAAAGGACCTAAAGAACTGAGTGAAATGGGGAGAAATAAGGATTTTCAAGGATCATTTTGCATGAGTGGGTGACCCAGCGAAGAGTGCACACTTTRGGACCAAGCCTTGCTCCCTGAACCTGCCCCTGCTGACTCACTGTGGCCCTGGGCAAGTCATTTCAGCTCTCTGCTCATCAGTCTGCAGGTTTTCCCACCAGTTACACCTCCCAGATCTTCCCAGGGCTCAAGTTGGAACTTGGGCAGGATTTAGTTCTAAAGGTAGACAGGAACTTCTGGAATTTCTCCATGAAATGCTCTCCTACCTCTCGAGGAGCTGAGTGACAGCACTGAGTCCTGGGTGGCCTCAGACCATGATTCCACAAGGACAACTTGCRCAGCAAGTTAAAAAAGGTGCTTTAAGGCATGAAACTTCAAATTTCAATCCTAGTGCTCCAGGATTTTCCTTGTTAACTGTTTTTCCTCCTCTTCTTTCTACATTTTGTCTCCTCCAAATTCTCCTGTGCTCAAAGGTTAAGAATGAATGAAGAGTTGCTAAATTAACTAAACTGATAATTCTGCCCCAGCAGGAGACCTTGGTTTAACTACACTCCAGAAAGGTGTTTAGATAAAAAATTAGAGTTAAAACCTGAGTTTAATTAAAAGTGATATGATAAATCAATTGATATGATAAATCAATTGATAAACCCATTCTTTCTCTAAGCTCACACCCACCACAATTTCCAAACTTCACTAAGCAAGATCAACTTATAAGCTTCTTTTCAAAAATAGAAGACTTTAAAAATAGMCCTTTTGGGAAAGTTTCCCCACTTGTGTGCTCAACACCAGGGCTACAAAAATCACTTWATACCACACTCAAAGCAGARATGCAGAACTCTGAGGCAAAAGCTACGGAGCAGCTCTCCAAGGACAGGAAAAGAAGGTATTTAAAAAGCCACTGGAGCATGAAAGCCAAGTGTGACAGTTCATTAGCAAAAGGAAAGCAAAGCATTGCAGTGCTGAGTGATTGKTGTGAGCTTTCAGACAGGTTCTGGGTGCTTTATAAAGAAATAAATGCTGCTGTAAGTACAGCCCAGGTAAAAGGTCCCAAATATAATGATCTTGGATGAAATAAACAGGTTCAACATTTTATGTTTTCTTTCCTCAACAAAAAACATTTCTTGAAGTCCTGAGAGCAAAACTGATCCAGTGAGATCCACAAATCCAGAGACAGTCATGGATGGCCACACATCCTTTGGCTCCGTGAATTTGGGGAAGAGGAGGCAATTGTTAACATTATTTCCAGCCCAAAGTGGGCCACAGGAACCCTTTTAAGACACAGAATGGGAATTCTGCTGAGCTTCCAGCATCTGATTGAGCCAAGCATGAACCCACCTCTTTCACCCTGTCCGTGGCAATTGTTCAGCTCAGCCAGAAGCTGGTTGAAGTCATCCTGATGAGCAATCCAGTTGTCCTGTAAATATCACCCACATGAATGCAAGGCAGAAGTCTTCAGAACAAGCACAAGTTTTTATAAAATAAATAAAATAAATCAGGTATTAAGACTTGTAGAAATAATTTAATTGGATATATCCAATCCTTGCTGCTGGGAAGCTCCACAAGTGGCAACACCAACAACAGCTGCTACAGTCACCCCAAAGTGAAATGACATCATCAGAGTTGTGTTGGGAAACCCTTAAACAATCATGTTTGGTACAGGCCACCACCAGCTGTGACAACACATTTCATTAATATTCCACTCAAATAATTGTGCTTTTGCTGAAATGGGATCCACACTCTTCCCTGGGTCTGATGCTCACCTCGTGATTGACAGTAGCTCCTAACCCCAGCACGTCGTTTTTCACCTTAACCCTGATGTGYTCTGGATTTCCTTGCTCCTGAGCCCCAAGACCCTAAGGAAGATTTGAGGGTAAAAATGTCAGGATTTTACAGCAGCAATCAGAGCTTTTGGACTGCAAGACAGTTCACAAAGAAATACAGCAAGAAATCACAACTGCCTATTAATTTGTGTGCTTGTAGCTGAATTCACTCACAGGCATTACAATGCTTTAAATTCACTACTTAAGCCTCCAGCAAAGCATTATAAACACTAAAATAGCAACAACATTAAGTAGATGGGTGATTAATCAGGAAGCCACCTGACATTCCTACAGACCAGGAGCATTTACAGTGTTAAAACAAGATCTACATAAGAACATGTCTCTCCCCAAAAATTCCTCTGTCACTGGGAAGGGTAACAGGAGTAAGACAAATCCACATGCAAAACGCAATCTGGAGTAAATTTATATGGGGAGGCAAGCAGGGGAGAAGTAGACTGGAGCCAGGACATTCACAACTTCATCCACCTCATTCACACTCCTAAGTGGATGAAAATATTGGAGCAAACACCTGTGGGGTTTGTCTGTGTTAAATCCCACAATCATTCAAATCTGGGAAGCAATATTCATGTTCAGTATTATCTTTCTTAACTGCACGATCAAGGCTAAAAAATTAAAAGGCAAAGCTTTGGGTTAAAAACTTTATTCCTGGTGTTCACCTGCTTTTTGCCTCATCTGTCACAAGCCATCAACCAAGTGTGCTGGCTTCAATAAACATTTATGTGCTGCTGCAGTGGAGAGAAGCCTTGCAGACACATCCAGGGATATTTAATATTTGTAGGGATGAGGCATATTTGGAAAAGGCTGTTGCTATTACAAAGAAAGTAGAGTTCATCTGGTCAATGGGGTGGAAAATTTGCCTTGAAATTTCTGCTGACCAAAAAGTATTGAATCGAGCAGGACACTTGGCCACACATTCTGTCCTGACCCAATTCCAGTACAACCAATAACAGCACTGGTGTTAAGCAGCTTAATTTCACTGCTCACATGGGSTTTTGCCCCTTAATTTGATCAAGGGAAAGTTCCATTTGTCCAAGTTTGGAGTGGAATAGAAATATAAATCCTTCTTGCACAACTGGCGGCAAGGAAGATCCAGTAGCTCGAGTGGGAAATGTCATGAGACAACTGAGGCAACAGTYGAAATCCAAAAATAGGATTTAAGGCATTCACAGCATTGAGAATGATCCTATTTTTTTTCCTGTTAAGGAAATCTTGGGAGAGGAAATCTAGAAGAATGAAATGAAGGTAGTGGGGGTTTGGTGTGGATACTGATCAGTAAGCACTCTGATGTGCAGCCCCAAGTCTCAGCTTTGTTGAGGCACCTCTGTGGAATTAAACCTGCAGTTTGCAGGGGTCTGTGCTGACCTGGAGGTTGTTATTAGTGCCAGAAACCAGTCCCCTCACCCATAGGCCCTGGCTGGATCTGGGAAGGGATCCTGGAAGCTCACAGGATGCAGCTATTCAGGGGTTCAAGGAACAGATCAGAATAAAGCTTAAAACCAGGTGAAAGATTAAACCTGAAATTGCTTCTGTAAGTACCAAAAAGATGGGAGAGAACTGGGGGTTTAAAGGCAACTTAAAACCTTTAACCATCAACTGATTCAATGTGCCAACTCCTGCACTTACTTGGGAATTTGGATTGTCAAAGAATGGAGAAAAACTGGAAAGCAGGAGAGGCACAAACAAGACTTGTAACAAAATGTAGAATTCCATCACTGCTCAAATTCTCTGTGCACTTGAGAGAATAAATGAAAGGAAAGTTCCCCTGGCAGTTTCAGACCCTTCAGCCACACAATTCTCTTTTAGATCTTACCTTTCCTTTGGACCAGCCCATCTTTTCCAGCATCTTCTGGCCAAATTTGGAGTCATCGTTACTCCAAGCGCTGTTCCGTGGATCCACAGACCACTTCTGCTTTCTCCGGGCTGAAGCAGGAAGGGAAAATTCAAACAGGTTCTGTTGGCATTCCCTGAGAGTTCTTGGTATTGAATCAGTTCAACCAAAGCTCTTCATTGCCAAAAAAAACCAAAAAAAACCACCCCAGAACTGATGCCAGACTCAACATATTTTGGGGTTAATTTTATTAAACAAAAACCCCAACAACATCAACAAAAGTCCAGKGAAAATATTAACAATTAGTGGGAAGATGCCAAAGTAAAATCACTACGGAAGTTGTTGTCCCTTGGGATGGGCTGCAATTCAGGGAAGGCTTTAAGGATTACCGTTTAGGTGTAAATTCCATATTTATTCCAATTTTTTTTTTTTTACATCTGGCTTCAACATGGAATCTGCAGGGGAAGAGATTATGATGCTGCTTTCCCAGTTCTGGACAAAATCCATTCCCCAGACTTCCTTTCAACCAGAACACAGAAGTTTTAATGTTTGCCTTCCTAACAAAAGCCATATCAAAAATCCAACGTAGGTGACCAGAGAAAGGGAATGACAGAACACAAACCCATGGGATTTCAGTTTTTGGGTTTCTCAAAAATGGTTTATGGGGAAACTGAAAAGCTGACAGAAATTATTGCAGGASTTAAGAGATCCAAAGGAAAATCAAGGCTCCTTTGTCCTACATGGATTCCTAAAGAAATTACAGTCTCCCAGACCCACGTGTTGCCTTTCCCACCAGGAACAACTTCCTTGAAATCAAGAAAGAGAAGCCAGCCCAGTTAACCAGTCACTGAAGTGTGCACCTAARCCCAGGCAGGAAGAGAACCTAAATAAACAAGACAAACAAAGAATGGGAGACAGGAAGATCACAAACTTCATTAAACACCATGGGAAATGCTGGATCAAAAATGACCGGTTAACCCAAGGCCACACAAAGGCAGGAGAAGCCAAATCCAACGAGGTGTTTTCAATGTAATCAGGAAGTCATCGTTCCCTAAAAGACAAGATTTGGGATTTGGGCCAGAGGGACTGAATATTGCAGGGATGTTTGACTCTTTTTTTGGCCAATTTTCWTTCATTTTTAAGGAACTGAGACTGTCAGAATTCAAGGTGGGGGCTTTATTTAACACACTTCCGAAGCTTTGAAGCTCCAAACAGTCCCTAAGCAAATTTTACAGCAGGTTAAATGCCCAAAGGGCTGTGGGGGGAATCCAACCTTTGCCTGGTTCACTTCTTTACAGGAAACAACTTATTAACCTCAGAGGCCTTGGCTGCCCCATCCCTGGAAATRTCCAAGSTCAGGCTGGATGARGCTTGGAGCAAYCTGTGATAGWGAGTGGCATCTCCATGGAACTGGATGATCTTTTTAAGGTTTCTTTCACCCCAAACCAGCCTGGCATTCTGTGATTATTCCTATCAGGAAGCTTTGAGAGCAGCACCTCCTCCAAGCCCTGCCCCTGCTGCCAACAAAAGGAGGGGAAGCATCACTGTGATCTGTGATCTTGAACTTCCAAACAAACTGGGGTTCCCTGCTGCCCCAAGGAGAACAGAAGGTCTGGCTCCCTTACAAAAGTGGCTCCTTTCACCCAAACATCAAGCTGGGAATTCAGGAAAATGAGGCTCAAGGGGGACCTTGTGGSTCTCCACAACTCTCTGACAGGAGGGTGCAGCCACAGGGGGTTGGGCTCTGCTCCCAGGGAACAGGGACAGGATGAGAGGAAACAGCCTCAAGCAGTGCCAGGGGACCTGTGCCTTTGAGAAAGAAACTCCCTGCCAATAGGTTGGATATTGGGAAAAATATCCTTCATTAAACCTTCATTAAAAAGGTGGTCAGACACTGGAAGAAACCGCCCAGGGCAGTGGTGGAATCCCCACTCCTGGAGGGATTTAAAAGCCATGTAGATGTGGCACTTGGGGACATGGATCAGTGGTGGCCTTGGCAGTGCTGGGGAATGGTTGGACTCGATGGTCTTGGAGATTTTTTCCAGCCTCAGTGATTCTGGTTCAAGGATTCCAACAGATCTTATCATTCCCAGCTGAGCAGCTGCCTTCTTTTCAATCTCAACCTCAAAAGTGAATTTCTATGTTTTTTTCTGAATATCTCCCTGTGGAGAAACCCCTGAGATGTTTTACTTTCAGGATGCTGGTGACAAAGCACAAGTGCACCAGACACAAATATCTCTTAAACTCGAAATTAAGAGCCCTTCCCTTTCTCAGCATTTGCAATCCAATTCTTTCAAACAATTTGAGATTAATCCTCATATTTCTGCCAGGTTAACATACTCTGAYTTTTAAATAGGGTGAGTTAAATGCAGGAAAAAAAACCCCAAACAAACTTGCTTTCATCTTTAGAGAAAGAAGAGAAGCATTTAAGAGAAGTATTTAAAAAAGCCGGGAACAGCTCCATGTCATTCACAGAAAACCAAAAATAATTTTCCCTTCCCAAGCAAACAACAAAATCCACTAATTAGTCAATAATTTATCAGAAATGTTTGTTCACTGGTGTTTTTAAAGCAGGAGAGGAAACCAGGTCCAAGATTCAACGCCTAATTTAACACTGATTTTCTGTGTTAAAGAAACACAGAAAGTGCTCTGAAAGTGATGCCACAGTGACAGAACTCTGGGAGAGCAGCACCATCCAGTGGAGAAAATCGTCATTTCTTTAGGGAATCACTGAGGTTGGAAAAACCCTCTAAGACCGAGTCCAAACATTCCCCAGCACTGCCAAGGCCACCACTGCCCCATGTCCCCAAGTGCCACATCCACAGGGCTTTTAAATCACTCCAGGAATGGAAACTCCACACCTGCCCTGGGCAGCTGTGCCAGGGCTGGACAACTTCTTCACTCAGATGTTCTACAGTCTGAAAAAGATCAATTACTAATTCCTTTTGCCAAGATGAATTCTATGCCTGAAGCATGTTTTTAATTATTATTTCTGGAATTTTCCATCCAAATCCCTGCTGTGTGCCCACAGATGGTCGGGGGGCACAGGAAGGACAAGGTTCTGGAACCAGGCTGGGAGAGCTGGGGGTGTTCACCTGGAGAAAAGAAGGTTCCAGGGAAAGCTCAGAGCCCCTTCCAGAGCCTAAAGGGGCTCCAGGAGAGCTGGAGAGGGACAGGACACAGGGAATGGCTTCAAACTGCCAGAGGGCAGGGACAGATGGGATATTAGGAAGGAATTGTTCCCTGTGAGGATGGGGACGCCCTGGCACAGGGTGCCCAGAGAAGCTGTGGCTGCCCCTGGATCCCTGGAAGTGTCCCAGGCCAGGCTGGATGGGGCTTGGAGCACCCTGGGATGGTGGAAGGTGTCCCTGCCCATGGCAGGGGTTGGTGTTGGATGAGCTTTAAGGTCCCCTCCACTCCAAATGAGTATATTATTGACATTTCCAATTAAAATAATTAACTGATTCTGAAGAAAAAAAGGGCACTAAAGTTTACACTGAAAATACCTAAAAAAATTCCATATGCAAATGCAGATTTGTTTTCCTCAATTCACATCTTTATTTCCCACTGGAAAAGATATTTGATATTTGTCTGTATAATCCATATTTCCTGCAGTCCAGCAAACAAATTCATCAGACCCTGAGCTCTCAGTTAAAGTTGTCCTGACACCAGCAAGCTCTGTCAGAAATGGGAGCCCGAGATCTCAATCACTTCACAGGCAAAAGTGAAGTTCTGCTTGTTTCCAATATCAGGGAAATTTAAATGAAGTTCACGGAATCATGGAATATCCTGAGCTGGAAGGGACCCACCAGGATCATCCAGTCCAACTCTTGGCTCTGCACAGACACCCCAACAATCCCACCCTGTGCACCCCTGAGAGCATTGTCCAAACATTCCTGGAGCTCTGGCAGCCTTGGGAATGTCACCATTCCCTGGGGAGCTGTTCAGTGCTCCAGCACCCTCTGGGGGAAGAACCTTTCCCTGATCTCCACCCTAAACCCCCCCTGACACAGCTCCAGCTGTTCCACTGCGCCACTGACAAGACAGACAAACCCTAAAGGTGTCCAAGGGGCATTCCCGCTGCTCCTTCCCTGCCTGGGACATGACAGATCCCACAAAGAACCCCCTTATCCTGCACCAATCCCCCCCAACCCCTTTCTAGCTATCCCACCTCTCCCAGCCCCAAAATCCCACCTTTTCCTTAACCCTGGGACCCCCTGGATGCCCATTCCTGCCTTTCCCAAATCCCAGATTCTCCATTCTTCAATCCCAGGGACCCCTGGACCCCTATCTTGGTCTCTGGGGAGCCCAGATCTCCCAAGCCCCCTTTTCCTTGACTCCGGGATGCCCTCTCCTGTCTTTTCCAGACCTGAAACCCCTCGTTCTTTAACATCAGAGACCTCCTGAGTCCCTTTTTCCACCCCAGCCTGGGTCTCCCAGCTCCCAGACACCTCCTTTTCTTCGACCCTGGGATCTTCTAAACCCTCATTCCTGCTTTTCCCACACCTCTCCTTTTCCTCGACCCTGGGACCCTCTGGACCCTCATTCCTGCCTTTCCGAGACCCCTCCTTTTCTTTGACCCTGGAATCCTCTAAACTCTCATTCCTGCTTTTCCCAGACCCCTCCTTTTCCTCGACCCTGGGACCCTCTGGACCCTCATTCCTGCCTTTCCCAGCCCCCCGCTCCCCATTTCTTCAACACCGGGGACCCCCTGAACCCTTTTTTCCGCCATCCCAAGGTCTCCCCACCCCATGATCCCCCCTTTTTCTGACATAAAGAACCCCTGGACCCCATTTTCTGGACAGAGACCCCCTTCATCCCACCTCTCACCGTCTCAGCACTCCCCTTTCTTTAACTCRGGCACCCCCTTCCCCAGCACCGGTACCCCCCGAGCGCTTTTATCCGGCCCTGGGACCCCCCCGCCCGCATCGGGAGGGGCAGCGCGGCCCGGACCCCTCAGGCAGAACTGTGGGAAGGATCTGGGACCGCTCCCAGAGCACCGGTTCGCCCCCATTCCCGCAGCATTCCCGCAGAATTCCCGCCGCCATCGGCACTCACGCTCCGCCAGCATCGCCATCTTGGGGGCCTCCCTCCCTGCGCGGGGGCTTTCGTGAGCTCCGGCGCAGAAAAAGGGGCGGCTTTTGCAGCGCCTGATTGAAAAAAAAAAGTTTTAAAACAGGCGAGCGCGGCGGCCACCAAAATGAAAATGAAAGAAGTTTGTAAACTTCTAAATTCTAATAAATATCTAAAATTCTAATAAATATCTAAAATTCTAATAAATATCTAAAAACGCGTCTTGGTTGCGTTTCCGAGCCGGGGGAAGAGGATGAGCAGCGCTCGCTGCGTGTGGTTGGAAATAAGGGGCAGGGTGAATATTCCAGGGAATTTTCGATGTGARTGTCCATGGATTTCCCAAAATCTCGCTGTCGTGGGAGGGATGGGGGAGAGGGCATTTTGAGCAGCATTCCCTTCCAGACTTTCTGTTAAATGTGGGGGAGAAAAAGAAATTTTTTTTTCCTTTCTGCCACAAATTATAGTTGAGGACTGAAGGAACCCCTCTTTGATGGGCTGCTAAATCAAAGCACTTCTGTACAGAAATCTTCTTTTTTTTTTTTTTTTTTTTTTTTTTCCCTTGGTTCTTCATGTTTTCTGGGGTTGTTAGCATTTCTTCAGTTGTTTTGTTTGAAGACCAACACCCGAAATATGGCTGAGCCATAATATGGCAAAATTTGGCATAATATGACTGAGGCAAAATATGACTTCAGGCAGCTTCCTCTGGCTCCTCCTGGTTACATTTTGCATCCAAGTGCAATGTTTTATTCTTTAATGTCCCTTCTATAAAATTGCTGTGTCGGGGTTTTATATTCTGTGGGTTTGGGGTGCGTTAATTGTGTCTTTTACCCTTCACTGAGTCGGTACTTGTGCCTTTTCGTGTTGTCGTGTTGTTCTGAATAGTGGCTATTTGGTGTTTCTCTGTCCTTTTTCCAGCTGGAATTGTCCCAGGTGTCCTCAGTACCTTGGGTCAGGTCCATAATGGGAGTGTTGAGCCCAGAATCCCAGGATGGGTGAGGTTGGAAGGGATGACAGTGGCTCCTCTGTCCCCCCTCCCTGCTCCAGCAGGGCCATCCCAGAGCACAGGGCACGGGATTGTGCCCTCACAGGCCTGGAATATCTTCAGTGAGGAAATTCCACACCCTTTCTGGTCCCTGTTCAGGGCTTGGTCAGTGCACAGGGAAGTTCTTTTTCATGTTCAGGTGGAATTTCCTGGGAATCAGTCCCTGCCCGTTCCTCCTGTGCCATTGCTGGGCCCCCAGAGCAGAGCCTGGTCCCTGCTCTGAGCCCTCCCTGCAGACAGGGACACACAGGGATGAGGGCCCCTCTCAGCATCTCCTCTGAACAGCCCCAGCTCCCTCAGCCTTTCCTCACCAGGGAGATGCTCCAGGCCCTTCATCATCTTTCTTGCTCTATCTTCTCCAGGAGCTCCAGGTCCTTCCACTCCAGAGGAGCCCAGAGCTGGACACAGCACCCCAGAGGAGCCCAGAGCTGGACACAGAGGACCCTCCTGGGCTGAGCAGAGGGGCAGAAACACTCCCTGACCTGCTGGAAATGCTCTTCCTGCTGCACTCCAGGATTCCATTGACCTTCTCTTCCCTTGGTGCTGCTGATCAAGGACAGCTTCCACTATTCCAGGTTGATCCAAGCCCTGCCCAGCCTGGCCTTGGACACTTCCAGGGATCCACGGGCAGCCACAGCTTCTCTGGACATCCTGTGCCAGGGCCTCCCCACACTCACAGGGAACAATTCCTTCCCAATATCCCACCCATCCCTGCCCTCTGGCAGTTTGAAGCCACTCTCTGTCAGTTTGAAGCCATTCCCTGTGTCCTGTCCCTCCATCCCTTGTCCCAAATCCCTCTCCAGCTCTCCTGGAGCCCCTTTAGGCACTAAAAGGCCACCATTAGGTCACYCTGAACCTTCCCTTCTCCAGGCTGAACAATCCCAATTCCCCCAGCCTTTTCTCACAGGACACATTTCCCACTGCTCTTTCTCCATTCTTTCTTCTCTGTGGATGGCAGCTGGGTTACAGCTCCCCCAGCCCAGCTTTTCCCACTGCTTTGCCTCTGTGCCTTTGGATTTATGTTGCAGCTCCCTTTTTGAATTCAGGAACACTGTACAAAACAGATTTTATAACATTTATTTGCCTTTTTTTTCATAGACACATAAAACAGGTATTATATCTGTGCATTTACCTAAGACCCCTTCTGYCTGTCAGAAAAGTTAAATGGATACGAAGGATCTTGATCTTGGGCAATCTTTAATTGAGATTTGATGATTTGAAATTGATGATTTATTTTTAATAGTTCATGTTCAGGTCTTATCAAACTGGCTGCTCTGGCTGCCCCACTTCCTCCTTTAAATATGAGTACGAAACTGGTCCTTTTATAATTTTCTAAGGCCCTATCCCACTGTCAGCAATCCTCACAGGGTTTGTTCTCCCCACACTTTATTGCCAGTTCTCTGCACTTTCAGGTCACATTCATCAGGCTCGACTGATGTGAAAACAAATAAATACTTCCCAGACCTTCACTATGTGGGAGAGGAAGGTTTTCCCTTTCAAAAGTTTCACTCAATGCTTTCCTTCATGAGGAAATCTTCAGAGGTCAGAATCAACCATAGGAGAGCCTTCTTTCTGTTTTCGTAGAAAAACAGGATCACAGGATTATTTATGTTGGAAAAGAGCTCTGAGGCCATCGAGTCCAACCTGTGACCGATCCCCAACTTGTCACCAGCCCAGAGCACTGAGTGCCACATCTGGGTGTTCTTTGGACACCTCCAGGCATGGGGACTCCAAACCTCCCTAGGCAGCTCCTTCCAAAGCTTGAAAACCCTTTCTCTGAAGAAATTCCTCCTAAATATCCAACCTGACCCTCCCCTGGTGCAGCTTGAGGCTGTTCCCTCTCCTCCTGTCCCTGTTCCCTGGGAGCAGAGCCCGACCCCCCCGGCTGCCCCCTCCTGTCAGGGAGTTGTGCAGAGCCACAAGGTTCCCCCTGGAGCCTCCTTTTCTCCAGGCTGAGCCCCTTTCCCAGCTCCCTCAGCCTCTCCTGGTGCTCCAGCCCCTTCCCCAGCTCTGTGTCACCTCATCTGCTCTCCACTGCTCACAGGTCACTCACAGCATCCTCAGAGAATCACTCAGATTGGGAAAAACTTCCAAATCCGACCATCCCCCAGCACTGCCRAGGCCAATTCTGCCCCATGTCCCCAAGTGCCACATCCYCACGGTTTTAAAATCCTTCCAGGGATGGGSACTCCACCACTGCCCTGGGCAGCTGATCCGAGGTTTTCCCACCCTTCCAGAGAAGAATTTTTYCCTCATATCCAATCTAAACTTCCCYTGGCACAACTTGAGRCTGTTTCCTCCTCCTTTCAAGGAGTTTTAGGAAGCCTCCTCCTCCTCTTCCATCACCACCCAGGGATTCTCTGCAGGGGCCACTCTTTGCTGTCATCTGGATCTGAATTAATCCTTCATCCTTCTACCTGTATTTCCTGATCCAAGCGTCCTTTCTGGCAGTAGCAGCCATTTCCATGGATTATCCCTCCAAAGTCTCTTTTACATCAACTAAATTCTATTGTCACCCACGTGTCGAGTATTTGGCTGGTCGCTTGTGTGACCACAGCAGCCAAATTCTGCTCTGTTTTTAATTTTGGGGAGGTTTAAGCTTTTGGCTGAGAGCTGAGTGTCGTATTTGATCGCTCCAATAGGGAGCAGCATTCCCCACGTTTGGAACAGCTTCTCTGTGGTATGAAGACATCACCGGAGGTGGAAAATGTGAAGTAATTTCTGTTAAAGGATGCCTTGAGGTTGAGATTTTTCTCTTGTTTAGTTTTGTAACTTAATATTCGGYTGCATCGGAGCACTTCTGCCTCCAGAGCTCTCACTCACGGCTGGCAAAAAATCACAACTCAAAACACAAATGAGGTCGTACCTGATTTAATTATTATTTAATATTTGCCTAATAGGAGGCTTGAGGTCAAGATCCAAATTATCCAGCACAGTTCTTGCAAATTAGTAGTTTATAAAACAATTAAGCCCACGAATACATACAGGGGCAGTGAAATGAGGCAGAGAAAAGGTCCCATCCAGGGCCAATTCTTGTGTTTCCCAATTGCATTCCTGACTAAAAGGAATGTAAAAGGAAAACTTAAAGGAAGGAAAAAATATGTAAATGCTTGAATATATATTTTCTGTCAAGAGAAATAACAGCAGCTGTGCTCTGAGAAAACAGCCTAAAATCCCATTTCCAGTGTGCTTGGAGAGGTTGAAATGTAGCTCAGCTCTGGAAAATAAAGGGATAAAGATGCCTGGTGGGCATTCCATTCGGAGTTCTCCAGAGATTCCTCCCAAGGCTCGTAGTTGGAAAGAGATGTTCCCTGAGAGCCAGCCCTGCTGGGATCAGCCAGGGCTTGGAGTCTGAGTGGGGAATTTTCCTCCCAGCATTGTCCTTATGGATTGCTGTCAGCTCCAGAGTCCCTTCAGGCTTTGGGGAATCCCTTTGGTGCCGCTCCCAGGCTGAGTTGGGGTCATAAGGAAAAAATCCAGCTGGGATGAACAGAGCCAACAASACGGGAATTGAAACGGCAGGAAAGTAGAGGAGGGTTGGAAAAACATCTGAGCTGGATACTCACCTTGCTGACCCCTTTCCACCTGCTGGAGACCTTTGGAAGTCAGGAGGGAGTGAATGACATTTCCCAGCTAAGGAGCAGCTCCGTGCCCTGCAGAAGGACCCCATTCCARGGCCCCAAAAACCAGGGAGATGCGAGGAGGGAGAGGAGAGGCGGCCAGGAAAAGAGAAGTGGGGGGRAAAGGGAGGAGAAAATCGAGGAAGGAAATAGGATGTGAGCCTTGACTGTGCCAACAAGTCCTCTGTGAGGCAAATTTATTGTGTGATAAATGRCCTGAGGCCAGGCTACAAATGCTTATTGAGGGAGTCCTGGGAGAGGTGTGATGGAAGCTCTAGGGACAAGGAGCGCCTGGAGACCTTAAAACGACCAGACAGCTTTGATGTAGGACACTGATTCRAGGGAGCACACGGATT